CAGAGAGGAGAGGAGAGCAGTGGAAATCTATGGGCCGGTCCTTGGGACGGAAGAGCCACCACTGCTAGTGAGGCCCTACCCTAGCTCTGGGGATAAAAGGCAGGGGGCGGGAGACAAACAGATGTGGCAGAAAACTATTCATCCTCCAGACAGACGGACTGGTTAGCCTGCGGTGAGAAATTTTTGCCGGGGCTGCCGACGTTCCTAATAAAGAAATCTTTTGAGTTTCATTTCAGAGGGTTTGTTGTGTTTGCGGAGCTGGGTCACAACAGGTTTTGGAAAACTGCTCCCCGGTTTTCTTCGTTGTACCTCAACGCGCCTCTCTGTTTTTTGTCCTCACTTTTAGCCTGATGGAGAAAGGGAAACTGAGGCTGGGGAAGGATTCTTCCAAACGACGCCATCAGGTGAGCCTTCGGGAGCCCGAGAGGAAGACGCTCCCCAAATAAGGACCTGTCAGCCTTACAGGTAGTCCGCGACTTATGACCATCATTGAGCCTGCCTAACAAGCCGTGACAGTCATAATAGCGGGTCACCGGCGACCGGTCCTTGCCACCGACAGCCGCCATTTTCCTGTTCCAATCTTCTCTTCTCTTCTCTCTCCTCCTGACAGACCCCCGTCCTGTACGCCATGCTGGACCACAGCCGCCTCACCAAATCGAGCGACAAGAAATCCCGAGGATGTTTGGGAGACTCGCGCAAGGATAAGAAATAGCGGTTAGCCAGCAGAGAAGGTATCGAGAAGAAGGCGGCCAAGAAACAGGTGGTCCTGACCATCGAGATGGAAAAAAAGAAGGACCACCATGAGGCCGAAGGCCTCAAGCCCGCCGTCAAATCCCCCAGCAAGAACAGCCTCAAAAATGCACTCATGAATATCCTTAAAAGCGATTCGGCCGTGTAATTCGAACGCGGGGGGCCTTTCCTGGCCCTCCTCTTCCCCGCCGGGAGGTCCCTTTCCCCTCCACCCAGTCCTCTTGGCTTGACTAAGACCATCAGATTGAGGGTGCAGTACCTCTGACCGCCAGCTGGCGGCGGCATGGAGTTGGTTTGAAGTCCTCTGCTGCCACCTGCTGGCCGTTGGGAAGACCACAGCCCAGCCATGATGTTTTAATACACGTTTCTCAACTTCATGAAATTTGAAATGTGTGGACTTCAACTGCCAGATTTTGGGCTGGCAAATTCTGGGTCCATTGTAGTCCATCCATCTTAAAGCTGCTGAAGCTGAGGAACAAAAGCATTTACTAGTTATGTGGTCATCTGTAATGCTACAATAATCAATCTAACCAGGGGCTGATAGCATTTGGTATCAACAATTCCTTTCCCCCCGTCACACTGTAATTTTAAGGGGAGGAATCTTGGTTTGCGAGCCACAATCAGGCTTAGGAAGAACTCCTACGCTCAGAACACAAAGTTTAAACCAGAAAAAAAAAATCCAAGATTTCGTCCTCCATACAAGGTAGTCCTCAATTTACAACCTCAAGAAAGGCTGGAAAATTTGTGTGGTCATTAAGTGAGACATCACATGACAGTGACTTGCAACCTCCCTTTGCTGGCTTTCCCCTATTGGGAAGATCACATATGCTGGTTTGGGGATGCGGTTGACCTCAACATCTGGCCAAATGCTCAAACCATGATTGTACTGTGATGGTCGTTAAGTGTGAGGACCCACCATAAGGTACTTTTTCCAGCACTGTTATAACTTTGAATGGGTCGCTAAACAAGGATGGCAAGTTGAAGACTACCTGTGTTTCAGTTTCTTCTGCTAAGGAAGACCGGACAAGCCTTGATCTGCTACGATCCGACATTTTGTGTTAGCTCGTTGTACCCTTCTGATGTGTCCCAAACTCAGCAACTCGGGCAACACGCACAAGTGTAAATTAATCACAAAATATGCAGGAGGTTGGCTTATCATTTTCACTAAAGGTGAAACCCTGGAACCCTGTTCATCGCCAAGAGGAAGAAAACAATTGGGTGTCCCGTCTTTTTAACCCTCCCGATCCTTATAAATTGGCCCAAAAAATGCAAAATTCTCCCTAAAACGGTGCCTTTTCTGCTCTAACCACTGTGACACTCTACCGCTCCGTGATTCGAGCGCAGATGTAATTTTTTTTTCCTCATTTTTGTTTTCCTTTTATTTAATCCAAAGACCAGATTCTAGTCGGTGTGCCTCACATACTCACAAAGATGGTTTAATTTCCCTCAGGCAGAGATTCCATCCAGGAGGGACAACAAAATTCCACCATCACCATCCTCCTGAGCGAAAATTCCCCACAAAACTAAAGAAAACAATTTTCCTAAAGCAAAGTGCCTCAAATTCTTCTGTCGCTCTCTCTCTCTCTCTCCCTAATCCCTAATCCTAAGAGTAGTGATCCTAAAGAGAGATTTCGTTTTAGGCCAAATTCGGAGCCTCTCGCTTGAGCAAAGCATCTGAGAGGTTTCAGGGCAAGTGAAAAATTAATCGTCGTTTTTAAAAAAAATAACCCATTAAGACAATCCCTAAAATTTCTCAGGGAGGGGGTTTTGCTCAATTTTAAAGAGGCTGCCCAATTTTGCCTGCTGGGAAATACTCATCCCGTTGCAAAAGAGTTGGCGTGCAAACCAGCTAATTTTTTTAAAAAAAATCCTTCTAGAAGAGAGCTGGGGAAAAAGAAATGCAGATTATTCTGCCAGTTTTCCCCCTGAAATTTGTTGAAACAGACAAATTTATATTTCTGTTCTGACTTGTTTGACATCTTCGGGGTGTCCCCTGAGAGGGAAATTAAACCATCGTCTTGACAGTCGCGAAACCTCGCCGTACGATCTGCAAAAGGGTGGTTGGGAATGAAATTTATGATTATTAACCTGCGGAGATATTATATTGATATATATATTTTTTCCTCTTCCTTGCTGTGCTCTCTGCCCAGTGACCGAATTCTGCATGACGTTATGTGGGTAGGCAGAGTTCAAAGCTTTGATTTTTCTCCATTATTTTTGCTCTTATTTCGGTGGGGTTTTTTTCCCCAATTATTATTATTCTGTTCAGATTAACTTCTAGGACAATATGTTCTATCAGTAGCAAAACAGCCAAAGGCAAGACTGCCCGGATCATTTTGTTAGCAAACATACGACAGCTTCGGTTTGTGCATTTTAACAGAATCAGAAGTTGGGAGGGGCCTTGAAGGCCTTCTAGTCCAACCCCGCTGCCCCAGCAGGAAAACACTACCCCATTTTGGACACTTTCTACCAATTTCCCAGCCTCTTTCTCGTCTTCAAAATCTCACAACCTCAAATGACAAGGTGCTAAAAGCAATGTACATAAGCAGACAATTCCTGCAGACCCGCAACCACACCGTTCTGTGTAGCACATGTTATCACGAGTAGTCCTAGAGAACTAAACTGTGTTTTTTTTTAAATGGTTTTTTTTCCGTGTAGGTGTGTACAATTTCCTCGGGGGTTTTCTCGATCCCGTCAAACAGCAGCAACCGCCGTCAAAAACAAATGACATCCATTAAAATGACAAAGAATTAATTAAAAAGACTGACATTTCTGTACCAAGCTGGCTTTCTTGTGGTCTGTGATCCTGATAGTAAAGTCGGAGTAAGAAAAGTCACTACGGATTTTACTCTGTGAAATCCAAATCTAGGGGGCACTCTTCATCTCCGTTTCAAGGCCACGGACCAGCGCTCTCCCAAAACATTACCGCGGTCATGTGGCCAGGATGATGTCACGGAACACCGTTCTGTTCCCACCGAAGTGGTACCTATTTATCTACTCGCATTTGCTTGCTTTCGAACTGCAAGGTTAGCAGGAGCTGGAGCAAGGGCGTGGCGCTCGGGTCTCGAATCCTGGTTGCCGGCTTTCCAGCCGATAAGCCCAGTGTCTTAAACATTAAGCCACCATACCAGTGTATAAAAAGAAAAAGAGAGTCAGCAACTAGCAGCTATCTGACAAAATCAGGCCAGTTGCTTGGCTCATTCAACTGTGAATTAAGAGGAATAAAATTTGGACTGTCTGTTGCTCAGGAGCTCATCCAATTCTGCTTCCGGTCACACGTCAAAATATACTTCACTATTTATCTCTAATTTAGCGTGTTTTCCCTCAGCTCCTTCTACAGGTAGTCCTTGACTTTACGACCACAATTGAGCTCCAGATTCCCATTGCTAAGCGAGACTGGTGAATTCTCCCCATTTTACAACTCATTGCAGTTGTGAAGCCCGTTGTGAGTCCAGTTGTTAAGAAAGGGGATGTGGCTCTTTAGTCATTGACAAGCCCATAAAAATTGGGGATGGTCTCTCTTTTTTTTTTATAATTGAATGTCCTGTTTGCTTTTTGTTTTTCTTTTAAGGAAACGCTGAGAAAACAGAGCAGGGATTAGCCGAACAAACCAGGATGGCTTAATTTTCTCACCCAGCTCCTTCATTCATTTATATTTTTGGCAGGATTTATTGACTGATTGACTGCACAGCATCTGGGTCCTTAGTCTGTGATTTGATGCTGAAAATAAATCAAAGTTAAGAAAGAAAACTAATATTTTAGAAGGGGGAAATCATTGCAGTTGTTCAATTAGTGATACGGTTGTTAAGGAGGCTGTGAGTTCGATCCTAGGTAGAGGCCGATATTTCTCTCCCTGGGCACGTTGAGAATATTATCGGCTGCACAAAACTCCTCATCGGCAACAAGAAGGGCATCCAGCCAGTAAAAACACTATCATTCGTTTGCCCAGAGTCCACCCCACAAGGGCTTATGGGGTCATTAAAAGAGGAGGAAGATTGGCTTTGCTGTTCACCAAAGGGGATGAACATGACCCTGGAACTCTGCGACCGTTGTAAATACAAGTCAGAGGCCAAGCACCCCAATTTGGATCGTGCGGCCATGGGAATGCTACAAGGGTGATGTGAAAAACGGTCCGAAGTTCCATTTTTGGGGGGGACTGTTGTAGTTTTGACCGGCCACTAAACAAACGGTTGTCATTCAAAGATTGAAGGTTCGAAGATTTTGTATTCAGAGTCTTTGTTCTTCTGAAGTGGATTTAAAAGTCCTGATTAAGCACGAAGAGTCGCCAAGGCTCAAACCTTGAAATTTTTGCATTTCCAGCGCCTCACCTTTGGCGTTTGGGAGGAAGCCAATCCATCCGCTGGGACTTCAGCCCTATTTAAATCACTCATTATTACAGCTTATCCTATTAGTTCAAGCTCGTTAGCGCAATTATCGGGCCTTTCCCTGTTGAGTTATTTTGCATATCCCGAAGTATCCCTTCCTTTTGCCCTTGGAAAGGCACTTCTGTTGTGGTTCGCCGGCAGCTTGTGCAGACAGCAGTGGAAATGAGGACCAGTCTGGGAACCTGGGGAGGACTCGGATGAGGGTCCTGCCTCCGATGCAGGGATGTTAAGCGATTCACTTAACAACGGTGGCCAGAAAAGTCGTAAAATGGGGCAAAATTCACTTAACAAATGTCTCATTGAGCAAAAGAAAAATTTTGGACTCCGTTGTGGTCGTACGTTGAGGACTATCTGTATACTTTTTATCTGGCAGCTCCTAATCAGGGTATAAACTGTTGTGGCAAATACCGTGTTTGGCAGCATTAAGTGATAGAAGGTGGGAATTTAGTGAGTTTGTGCCCAATTTGATGTCGTTTTTGGCCATGGTTGTGAAACCAATCGCAGCAGTTAAGTAAATTTTGTGGTTCTTAAGTGAATCTGGCTTCCCCCATTGACTCTATCTATCTATCTATCTATCTATCTATCTATCTATCTATCTATCTATC